CATTTGTAATATTAGGCGAAGTGGTTAACGATATCTAATGGGTGGCCTTGTTTGACTACAGTGCTCTTGTACGGTTCTTTTCAAACTTCATGTATATTGTAAAAAATCCTTCCGTCTTTATTGACTTTACTATCCCAAGGAATTTTCAATTAACCTATTTCAACGTTTTATCATTAAGGACGTATGTTGTAAATGCAATGAGAAGCGTTTTCAAATTGTATATCATGAAACGATTTAATTTCTATTCTCTTCCGCTACTTATAACGTCGTCATCAAGTCAGCCAGCATCAATCTTCAGCTAGTTAGTGTCTTTCAATTAACTGAAAATTTGTTAATAATAAATTTCCTCTCAATTTATGTCAGAAATCGAAAATTATTCTCTCTATCTTACCTTTTCCTCAATTCTATGCACAGTCAACTATACCAAGAGATTTTAGGTAATTAACCCGAATATGAAGTGTAGTAGGATAGCAGTAGTGGGCGTAGTATGTAAGAAATTATAGGCAAATTATTTCGTAAATACCTTCAAGGGACAAAAGTACGTAACAGAGAAAGTAGTTAAAATTATTGTGTTTATTTTGTCATATATACGAACAAAATGAAGTTGATCCGTCTCAGTTTGATTGACAGGTAACAACACTCAAGTGCAACAAAAATAATTGAAATATTTTTCAAGATTACTTTCTCTTCGGATGTAAATCATGTTAGGGGAGAAGAAATTTTTGAGGAAATTTCTGAAAGTGTTTCTTTTGGCATTTATGGGAACTAAATTGCCAAAGAATTTGCTCAAAACGAAAAATGCACATACCTGCACACATACACAATTAGTAAAATGAAAGCAAGTTTTTTTTTGTTTTTTTTCTAATACTTTCCTGTCCTCTGTATATAACCCAATTTGCATAAGAGGTCAATTATTGTAACTGAAGTGAAAAGAGAAATAAAATATATTTGACCTAAACAAGTGACCGACATTCGAAAATGAAGGTAAACTCTGTCATTTCTTTGTGTAATGAAATATAAAACGAATTTCTATCAGAGGTTATTACAGGTGAAATTTTGAAATCACTAAAATGTATGAACACATGTAATAAATCCCCCCCTCCCCCAAAATACCGTGACTGAAACGTCAGACACACATGCATGCTTCTATATGCACAAGGCATACGTACATTAAGAGTGCTGGATAGGAAACATTGAGCCGAACAGCAGATAAGAAGGAGCTAAAGAGGAAGACCTTCAGTGAATTGCTGGCTTGATTAGATATTGCCTGATGATAACATGTATCTATATATGTATATATATATATATATATATATATGTACATCTATATCTCTATGTCTACGTATACATATTTGCGTATACGTTTATTTGGGTATGTATGTGTGTGTGTGTGTGTGTGTGTGTGCGTGTGTGTGTGGGTGTGTGTGTGTGTGTTTGTGTGTTATATGTATTAACAAAATTGAATAAAAAATCAATCTCCATTCTAGCATAATTTGATTTCTATCTCCTTTTTTCTATGCCATATATTCTCCACACACTTTTCTAGTTTCCCTGTGTGATTACTTGAAGTGTGTTGTCTTATGAACTGATGCCATTCTTGTATTTGCAGGAAAAGCCTGTAAAGTTATATTGATGTACGGCTATATGAGGCTTTCAAAGAGACTCATTAACAGTATTGATCGAACTTTATGATTAAACGAATTTAAACTGCAGTTTAAAACATATTTCTACGCAAATTTTTGCAAATATAAAATTTAAGTAATTTAATTAAAGCAAAAAAAGAAACCAAACTCATTTTGAGAACTATTGCCCGCCAAAGAAACAAAGTCCTTTCATTTAAATTTCTTTTCGTAAGTAAAGACAGCTTGTTGAGACCTACAGCCGCAAATGCAAAGTCGAGTATTTCTTAGTAGGATTGATTTGAAATCAACTATTAGCCCGTTTCAGCATGCCTTCCAAGAGGGCAGATCAATTGTGACGTAACATTTTAATATTTATTTGTCCGTGGCTCGCAAATGGAATTCGTATGCACATAGAATCGTGTAACTGATTTTTAAACTGCGAGTGTCTCATTTCCTTTCATGCTTTTCGAATTCGATAGGCTACCAAGGCAGCCACCTGTAATCCTTTCCATTTTTGTCCTGTATATCAATGATATCCCATCGGTGCTCAAGTCAAGTCATGTCCTTTTTCTTTAACTTCAAATTTGTCATGTAATTCATGTCCTAGAAATTCTTAACCTAAAAAAAAGCCTTCACTGCAGTTACTAACGAGTAACTCATTGATTCACATAAATTGAACAATAAACATGCTCTCACTGAATCAGGCATTTTTTCGATTATATATCATGCATAGAACTCTCCATAAATAAAGCCAAATCAGTACTAGGTCTTATGCTCCATAGAGCTAGACGATCCGTACCATATGCAATGGCCATACATGAGCTAAGTAACATCAATATTTGAATATGTTTCTATCGTACGGTCTAAACGTGAATTTTGTTCACCCAATAGAATTAGTTCTTTGAATTAGGATTAGGATCCATAAGTGCCGCCTTACGAAAACCAATCGTCACTGTTAGCCTTTGCTTCACTGAAGGAACGAAAGCTTATCGTGTGTATCTTCTTCTTAATTAACTTAACAAATGGTACAATTGACTCGATTATTACGGGAAATAAAGTTTCAGGTTTCTCACCATTCTCCGAGAAACTGAATTTTCCTAAAGCTTTACTAATATAGATATACCTTTGAACTCTTCAACACGGGCAGGTTTTTGCGCATATATCCGAATGACATTGCACTTTTAAAACACTATTGAATGAGCTCTCCTTAATGCGATCGCTTTTTTTCTGCCGCATAAAAGCAGGATAGAAGTGGGGAAAGAAAAAAAGAGCTAAATGTAATAACGACTTTTACGGCATGCTTGCAATGACTTAGGATTTGCCTCCTGACATGAATCTACACCAGGCCCGAGTACGCTTCTGTGCCGTATGTGTATGTATGTATGTATTTGTTATTCTTATATCTTTCTCAGTTTTCTTCGACTTGTAAAAGCTGACTTTAAGATATAAGAGATTTGAACAGCAGGAAGACGAGCAGATATCACTTAAAGGATAATTCAATTTAGGGCAGAATCGTAAAAGCGAGAAATTCGTGGTGGAAGAGACTGACGAACACTATTTTGTCGCTTGTTATTATACCGTAGTAGACATACTACTTCTCATCCCTATCCTCAGTAATCAGCTATGAAGGACGATCTAATTGACTAATTGAGTTCACAATGTATTATAGTTATAGAGATATTCACATCCTTTCGAACGTCATGTAACAAACTATTATTTAGCGAAGCAAAACAAATGAAACTTTCATTGAAATAGGTGCCGGTTGGGATCAAGGAAATCGACCGTCGACTTTGTTTGCTTTTCTTAACTGAATATTGTCACAGCCGGGCATATCCCGTGTCTTGCATGATATACGGAATGGGGTGCAGGGCGAAACCACTGACCTGTGATAATGAATACCCGTGCTTAGGAGAGAAAGCGGATTATCGAGCAAGCACACACTAACTCTACATAGGTATATGTATATATGCAACCCATAGTTAATTTTACAAGCTATTATACGTTCCGTTTTCCCGAATTTCGGCAAAAAAATAGGTTCAAAGTAGAGGCGCATTAAGAAAATCCAAAAAATTTCGTACTGATCGAAAAACCGCCTCATTTTTCATTCACTTGAAGCGACTGCTGAAGTAATTATGAAATTGATGTAAAAAGTGTATTTTTTGCATCACAGTAGTCCATATGGAAAATTTAAACAATGGAAATTAAGGTAAATCTCTCAGCAAAAACGAAGAATAATATAAAAAAAATAAAAAAAAAAAAATGAAAAATTGAAAATTATTATTCAGAAAAGCAAGTGTTGATAATTCACACCAAAAACATGCATAATTAATAACCCAACGAAAAGCGGAGACAGAGAAGAAGATTTACTTTAGAAGTAGAATAAACCAGCAATGAGGAGAAAGCCGCGTACATACGTAACTGCATAGTTATTGGGATGAGAAAGCCGCAATAAAGACACACAGAATGAGAGCAACAAAAGGGATAGCAGCACGACAGTGAGACAGCCAAGCGAACAGACAAAGAATACACAATTGTAAATGCGGTAAATGTTAGCAAAATTTATCAGCGCGAAGGAGTTAGAGAATGTAGGTTGTGTTTTAGGTTTTTTTTTTTTTTTTTTTTTTTTTTTTGTGGATATATTTACAACTTCATTAGACCAGCTTCCGCATAATCATTTCCGTTTCAGTAAAATGCATACATATATATACATATATAAATATACATATATATATATATATATATATATATATATATAAACATGCACATACACGCATACACAGAAAGAGACGTTAACTTACACACCTATTTACAGGTATTACGGCTCGAAAATGAGAAGAGAACCCTTTTCATTGGTAATTTTATGAAAATTTTTGAACGAGTTTGAAGGAACGCAAAACATATTCATAATTCATGTGTGAAAATCAACAAAAGGCCCGCCCGACACAAATCCTTCTTATAACAACAAATAAAGAAATGCTTGAATACGTAGGTAGGGAGAATGAAAGAGGTTTTGTTTTCATTTTCATTTTCGTTTTCGTTGTTGTTATTGTCGTTGCCATTGCCGTTGCTGATGTTGCTTTCCTTCTTCCTATATACATATACATATATATATATATATGTGTGTGTATAATTCAAAATGATTTAATTGAAGCCTCATTTACATATTTATGATGATTTATGGGAGGCATCGAAGGAAGGAGGAAGAGAGCACGTGTGTGTTTAAATAAAAGGGTCATAAAAATCGCTTTCTCTCTTTTTATGTCTAATATTTCATACACTTTTATATATGGCTAACTAAATTAGCCCGTTAAGCACACAGGTGTATGAAACGAAGAAATTAATCAAATTAACGTTTTATGTTTATTTCATGCATTTTAGGTAAATCACGTCATTTCCTGGTTAATGGCTTTAGCTCTAATTTTGCACAACAGCAACAGCAACAACAACAACAGCAACAGCAACAGCAACAACAACAACAACAACAGCAAACTACCAGCGATACACGTAACATATACAATAATCCATACACACCGAATACGGGAGTAACGCAACAGCAACAACAACACCAACAGCAGCAGTCAACAGCAGCACAGCAATATCGTCAACAGCAGCAATTAACACAACAACATATTTATAAAACTAACAATCAATACGATTACACTACAACCAATACTACGAACGATAATACACAACAACAGCAGCAGCAGCAACAACAACAACAACAACAACAACAACAGCACCAGCATCAGCTACAGCATCAACAGCAACAGGCTTCAGTTATATTAAGTGGCGTTGGCGGTGGCGGCAGTAATTCCTGCAATACAACGGACGCGGAAAACGCCTTTCTTAATCATAATAACGGTAAGTGTTTATTCATTATTTATTTTCTCTCTTCATTTTATTTATTTATGGAAATCTTTCCGCGCGAAAGGCAGAAAACATCTAGAAACCAGATATAAAAATGAAAAGAAAATGAAGAAAAACGTGCATGAGGTTTTAATAAATTTTTCTGGTTTTCTTCGAAATGGGTTGCGAGGCCGCCCCATGCATGCACATCCTTTAAAGGTCTCTTTATTGAAAATGTTATTTTTTTTAATTCAATTTTCTTTTATACCATTTTGTCTATTAATCAACCTCATCTGCTGTTTTAAACCAACGTAACAGATTGTTAGGAAATATTATACGGATGGTTACCCGTACTCTAATAAATCTTCTCAATATCTTTTAATGTTTTTCGCACTAGACATTTTTACATACGTCACAGAAGGTGTTAATATTGCGTCTAAGTATAATGCCATACCGAAATTTTATTACAGTTCGTTTGCCACGTTCGTTCTTACGCTGGCCTATAAATCAACGAAATGCCACGTTATACATAAAATGAAAGGTCAAGTATTTAAAATGATATTCTCTGAGATCTGAGACACAACATCTTACACAGAGTTTAGTTAAATGCCAGCTTAATCAGCCAGCGCCACTTTGCTTTCTTCGACATTTCTCTGGTCCGAATAAATCCTTTCGAATGGACGGACGTCTTTGACTGCAAAATAAAGTTGGGATATGAAGGCCTTTTTTAATGCACAACATAATGCTATAAGTCACGCCCAACGCTTGTAATATAAGTCATTTGGGTAATTTTGTTGAGGAGATTTTCATCTTGCCGCAAGCACTGCTTTCTAGTGGGTCAGTCACTAACTAATTTGTCGAGCGCGTTCAACGCTAGAAATTGTTCATAATTTCAGCAACAAAACCAATCGATAGTTTCAGGATTTTTGCTAGCAGCAGAAGCAAACAAAGTTTATGTATCGATGTCGCTCAATTGGACAAAACATCAGGTAGTTAAATTATGGTGAAGAATAGTTCAGGAAAGACTTGATGCGGAGGATTCTGTTAAGAAAAAGCTAGACGGGACGTACCTCAGTTATTTCGCAAAAATTGTTCGCGGCTTGTGTGGAAGTTACACTCGGCCCTAAAAGTTTTAATAAAACACTTAAAACATTTATTTTTTATTTAAAGGGTTTTTTTTTTTTGATATTTTGTTTGTACTTTTGCAGACAAAATTTGCTCAATCAATCGAGTGATCGGTATATTGATAACAACACAAAACTTCAAAATTGCGACTGTTCTTATATTTCTTTACATCACGTGCTGTACAGCGAACATGAAGTTTGTACGGATGGACTTTACATGGGCCCACTTTTTATTATGTCAATCGATTCAGAGTCATGTTTAAAATACACATGAGTTTTATTGTTTATCTGTCCCTATCTCCATCTGTTTACCTGATGCCTGTCGATGTTTTTTTATGTTCAACCTCGCAGTAGCAGAAGTTTTTTTTTCTTGATCCAACACTTGGGCGATGATCGGAAGCAAGCGGTAAAAGGAAAAGATGGAGGTTAAGAGGGATAGTTGAGGCATAGTTGAACAAAAGCACACACCGATCGTAGCTAAGGTATGTCCAAATGCAATGGGAATTAAACCCATATTTGCCAACTTGACAAGTCGCGCTTCTGAGTTAGTTAATTGTACGGCAGAATGTGGTAATTGTCAATAGATTGTGGGGGAATAAGTTGCAAGAAGTCCAAAGAAACTAATTTGGAAACGATCTTATTTATGAGCAGTCGCCATGTAACGGCTTAACTTGTTAAAATCATTGTATAAAATAGAAAAAAAGTAGTAGTAGTAGTAGTAGTAGTAGTAGTAGTAAAGAGTAGTAGTAAACCCGTTAATGCACCTATTATACCTCCCATCATACAAGATGCTCCTGAAAAATGTGCACTTTTATGTGAAAATGAGACGTCCATTTTGGTACTTTATCAGGGCGTTGGTGATAGTAATCTCAGGTATATAATGGTTAGCCTTGACCGACGATTACATTCTGACTTGTTTGATATGAAAAGAAATTGCTGTCATTGATAAGTGCCACTGAGAGTGTCCACTGATTCAAGGAAAATGGGTGAACTCTCCTTGATTTAATATATAAATGCATTTCGCACTTGAGTCTATGAAAAATCCACTTGTATGCAGATTGAACAGGAACTTAACATTAATTCATCAACACTATAAGGAATAAATCAATTTTTTGCTAATAATTTTTATATGTTAGGTTGTTCGGAAAGTCATTTAATTTTTGCTGGACAAAATGTAGGTGGATAAATATGTTATTGTGAAAGGTCGGACTCGGTAAATGTTTTTTTCCCAGCGATCTTACGAATTGTATTATTTGTCGGTTTGCATCAATTAATCTCTCTGTATTGTCTTCATCAAGTTCGTCAAGCGATCTTCTAGAACGAGATATAATGTTAATACCAAAATTGTAGAAACGAAATTTCGTAAACCAGTTGCATGTTAAAAAAAGTAAAATATGCCGAAGTTTATTGCATTCGACTTTCTATAGCTGATAAGGCATCAAACCAAACCTACTCTGCACAATCAAACAAATCTTTTCAAAATCAAGTTTTGCAAAGGCTATGTTGGTTGTTAAAATATGTAACGAAAGTGCGACTATTGGGAAGAAAGCCGAAATGACTTCCCAAACAATCTAATTTATGCGTATTGATATGTTATTAAGCATAAAATGAACGAATGTTATTGGAAGTGTTCTTTTATAGACTGTTTTTTACTGTCACGCTACTTAGGCTTTCTTTACAAAAGTGGATGGTGGGTTTGTTTGTTGTATCACTTTAGTTTCAATAATGCTGTGTACTTATTATGGCCATCAGTTGCCTATAGGTGACCTTTTTTTTTTTTTTTTTTTTTTTTTTTTTTTATTATTATTATTATTGCATTAAGATGAAGACTCAATCGAAAAGTTGCTTGATGGCCCTTATCTCGAGTTTGACTTCAATTCGTATTTTATTTCAGTAATTAAGTTAAATTTTATGTAATGTTTCCGTTATATTTTACGTAAACAAGAGTTACTAGAGCAAAACTTGTTTTGCTACTACTAAGAAAAAAAGATAAAAAACGTTAACTAAGCCAGCAATGTAAAAATTGCTGACTACACGGCTTTTTTTCCTTTTTTTTTTTCTTCTAGTCTTTATAAAGTCAAGCCCATATTATTTATTAAAGGGGTAAAATAAAAAAAAAAAATAAATAAAAATAAATAAAAAGAAGAAAAATAGTAATATAATAGTAGGATTTTAGGCGCTGCAAACAGAACAATCACGATAATGATAATGTGTATCACTAGAATATATGGATGTTTTTATTATCATTTTTTTCCCTTTACATCACACAAGGAAACTGCATTATGCAATTGCTAGAGTTTGCACACACGGAGTAAATGGCAAAAAACTTCAAATAGATAGACAAGTGTAGATATTGCCGAAGTAGACTAAAAGTCTACAAACAATTTGCCTCATTTTTTCCCCTTCCATCTACTTTAGCTGCCTTTTAATAAGCAGGCAAAGAAATAAAAATGCCAATAAATTTTCGTGTAGGTGGCTTTTAAAGTGTTTTTCTTTTTTCGTCCTTTTTCGTTTTTGAAAAAGTCAATGAAGCTTGAATTGACTTTGTTTTCTTCGACTAGGCAAAAAGGATTGTTTAGTTTGTTTTTTGATGAAAAAAAACATTATTTTAATTTCATAATATAAAAAAGTTTTTCCTAAATCATTCATATGTTTATAAAGTTTAATGAAGTTAAACGTAAATATTTGCATAAGGATTTACAATTGGAAATTGAAGATAACACAGCATACATATGTATGCGCACTCAGGTTTAGTAAATGACCCTCATACTCGATTTCTTACGTAAATAGCTGTCCGGACTCGAAAATTGTATATATACACACACACACATATATATATATATATATATTTATGCATTGTGTATATTTGTATGCATTTATTCATTATTTTGACATAAGTTAAGTTCATCAAATAACAAAAAGAAGGCAGACACGAGAAAAATCAAGGAGACAATTGGCAAGAAAAGGGTGAATTTCTTATACTTGCTGCGAGGATAAAATTGGCAAAAAGCCTAAAATTTTACAAAACTCGGTTGTTCTCCATCGATAAATTTATTATAGCCAAAACAAAGAGGCTTAAGTAAATACTAAACGAAAAAAAAAAAAAAAAAAAAAAACAAAACATTTTTACAAACACGCATACACTTGCCCGCACACCGACACATAAACATCAATATTTGATTGGTAAAAACCTTTACATTATTTTAGGCGTTTACTTTACGTCCACTCATACTATGATATCGTAGCCCTTTCAAATAGCTTGTACAATACTTTCAATTTGGATGTTTGTGATTTTCCTTTATTGGGATTTCGTTTATAAGATGGGTCAAATGTGATAAGTGTAACAAAGTTTACTGTTTAAGGATCGTTTGTTGGCTTTTCTGTCCATTCTCATCTGTAGAAAATACAAATAATGAACAAACAAATAAACAAACCCAACAAATACGAAACAACATGTGGACATACACATCAATTGATACATATCCACCCACAAACGCATACACACTTACCCGCACACATATAAGTATGTATACGCATATATTATAGACGATCCGTTACTCTATTTCTGACCATATGTGTTCATTTGTATTTATTGTTTTTATTTGTTTTTATTAAAGTTGGTCTTAATTTAAATAAAAAATATTTCCTTTAATTTTCCCATAAATATCGGTTAAAATGCTGCATATGACACTTCACTCGTAGTATATAAATTTATAGGATGGCATTCACCTATACGATAAGTATTCTTAAATTCGCGCGATTTTGAGATCGAAACATTTCAAAATTTTAACCCATTCCTACCATTACTTTACAAACTACAGCCGCTCTTGGTGACGGTAATTTTCTAATTCTGAAAGCAATGCAAAAAAAAAATATCTGTAGGGCAAACGA